CTATCCCTCCCTTTCTATAAAAGGCAAGAGTTATCCCCTCCCGAGTTGCCTCCAATATAGCAAAGGGTCCTCTTGCTAGTGAGGTAGCAGAAGAAGGCACCACTCTTCTCTGTCTTTATCTCTTTTAAACTAGCCCCTTGTATATCTTCATAAGCTTGATATCCTCCAGCTCTTATTAGATGTGTATAGTCGAAACTGTTGAAAATAGTGGGGCAGGGCCGAATCCTAAGCCCTATTGCCCACACACAAATCAATTCGGAAAATTCGAAAATTCGAAAATTAAAAGAAAAACATTGTATTGTATCGATGCCCAAAGTATGATATTAATTTGAAGGCGATGGCATTCTCTGTATTGTGTCGTCGTAGTATTCGAGTGGCTGAAAGTCAAAGGGTATAAAAAAGGGTTGTAGTACGAGTAGAGCGGCGGCAAGCTCTATATCGAAAAGACTCTTCTAAAAGAAGAGACCTACTGCGTATCATATTTCTGTATTTGAAATAGTAATCGATGGTAGATGTTGAATCTAACCGGGGCTTCCGTAACCTTCGTATCCGCGTCTAAAGCTGGTATTCAACTCTTCGTAGGTATTGCTGTCGTAAAATCGTAATATAATCCTTCGCTATATCTCTGAACCTCTCTCCTTCCAATTCTTCCAATTCCATCTGCGACTCAATCTTAGCTCTGCAGACTCTCAAGAGAGAGCTGGAGGTTCGTAGGATGCACCGCGTACAGGTGTTGAGTCTTCGCATCCCCTATTTAAAGATTACTTTTACTTGTAAGTCTTCGTTTAGATAATAATTGGTATTATTTAAGAGTTTATCTTCAATAAACAATCTCCATACTTCGAATATAGGATTAACCCCATTATTCAAGGATTCCGAGTCTTTTACTCTAGTATTCAATTTTGTTTTGAGAGTAAGGGAAACTATAAAGCCATTATATATTTCAATTAAAAGAAAAATTCCTGTAGGATTTTCAAAGGCATTTCTATACTATAGATAGAAATCCAATAAGTTCGATGTTGTGACCTATCCAACTACTCTTGAGCAATAACAGCTTCTGTTGTACATTCCTTGTTTCAATAGTTATTTCGAAAATAGTTCTTGAAGTCTAGTTATTATTATTATATTAATACTGAAGAGATTCAAAAGGTTTTGTCTTGATAGATCTGGAGGAGGAGAATCAGAGTGATTGGGTTTTATCTTTTTGTTATTCTTATATAATACATTTCCCATATCAATCTTCTATTCTTGATAAAACTACTAATTTAAATCTTGATTTTCCTCAGATTATTGACATATTGATATACGGCGGAGAGGTATTATGAGTTTGATAATAATAGAATAATAGGATCTTTTGCTTTTTTGTTTAGTAACTTCAAAAGTATAACTTAAGTGTGGTATCTATTTTTGTTTAGGGACTTAAAGAATATAACTATAGGTAAATATTTTGATCTTTTTAAAAAGATATTTTGTTCTTTATAGGGGTACTAAGAGTTTGTTATAATGTAATAATAACAGGTTTATGATATAATAATAAAATAAATCAATTATCGATATTAGAGAATAACAAACTACTATATAAAGGGTAAATCTGTAAGAGGCTTTTATAGATCCGGAGGGGACCAGGAGGGGATCAAAAGCGAAGCGAGATTTGACCTGCCAGGTGGGGCAAATGGATGACTAATCTAGGCCTGAGGCCAGATCGTCACAGAACAGAACTGCCAAGAGAAATATTGGTATTGCTGAAGCTGATATAAAAGCTATACTAAAGGAGTTTGGATTGCTACTGGAATTCTGGAACAAAGCTGTTGAATATAATATACACTATAGGAATAAAACAAATACTAAACCGATCATTAACAATAGTATAGTTAGCCTGATTAAAGCGTTTACAGAATTAACCCCGAATATCAGTTATTATAGAATATAAAGAAGCAAGTGTTATATATATATTAATCCAAAAACAATTCTAAAGGATTAATGATATAATAAGTTATAAAATACAGCTCGAGAAGATATTTTTATAGAATATTTAACTATAATTAATAGATATGTTAGAATATACTCATTGGAATTAGGCTATATTATACAAACAAGCTGAATAATTATAAACAAATCCAAAAAGGAAGGAGATCTAGATTTGAGAATAAGAAATTTAGTATTAGATTTTCAAGATATAGAGAATATCATTTTTAATAAAAGATTTAGAGGTAAACCTTACAAAGTATAAAAGAAACCAGAATATCTATCTGATTTATTACAAGATACTATTATCCTCGAGATCCTAAAGATAATAATCCTTAGTATATCTAAGATAAACAATATTCAGGAATTCAATAAAAATAGTAAAAGGAATATTATCAAGATCAATCCATTTGAGAACCTAATACTATCTCCAGGAATAATAAAGGCAGAGATATCAGATATTGTATCTACAACTTAATCTTTAACCGAAATCCCAATTATATCTATGGATATAGATATTTCTGAAAAATATTCTTTTCGAAAATGTAAGTGAGATAATAATGGATTAGATGAGTATATCCAGAAACTGATTAAAGCAATGATAGCAATGCTTATAGCAGATCCAGATAGAAATGCTATTGAATATGCTATGATCTCTATACTACTTATATTAAGGATCGATACAAATATTAAGACAAAATTATCCGAAAACCTGCAAGTAATCTTAGGAAACCCTATAGACAAGAATACAGCTTTCTCTGTAGAATAGATTCTAGGAATCCCTATTTCTACTACATATCATTAAGTGGTCTTGAACCTTAAATATAAAGAAAAATGGAAGCAAGCTATTAAAGAAGAAATTAATTCATTAATTACAAATAGTATCTGAAAAGAATATATTCTATCAAAAGAAGGGAACCTTGTTTTAACAAAATAGATATTTATAATAAAAACAAAGAACAATAAAATCGAGAGGTTTAAGATACAATTAGTAATAAAAGGTTTTAATCAAATTCTCGGAAAAGATTATAACGAAATTTTTGCTTTTACAATGCAACTCGATACGCTTTACTTGTTCTTAGCGATTATTACAAAAGAGAACTCGAAATACTAGTATTTCGATATAAAAAATGTTTTTATAGAATTCTATTTCAAGGAGAGATATACCTTATACTACTTTAGAGACTCAAGGTATCAAATAGATATGTCTTACATGTATTGAGAAGTTTGTATGGTCTTAAACAAATTAAACAAAATTAGAATCAATTTCTAAAATTTCAATTAATCAATTAAAGCTTTACCCAAAGTCTCATTGATTTATATCTCTATACATACACTACTCACTAACTCAATCTGCTAATATATATTAATAATATAATTGTTTTCTCAATCTCAAAAGATTAATTTAATTAGTTTTCTATAATACTCTTATTACATTTCAATATTAAAAATCTGAAAAGATTAATAAGATTCTAGATATTAGAATTGTAAGAAATCGAGTAAATAAATCTTTTATATTAAATTAAGAAAAATATCTAGAAATTATGCTCACAAAATTCGGAATTTTATATACTCAGTATTATGCTAAGAAAATACCTGCTACTGATTACTCATATTTACAACCTACTATAAAAGACAACGAACTAATTAATATTATTGAATACCAATAAACTATAAATAATCTCATTTATCTAATAATATATACAAGATTAAATATCTCCTTTATGTTAGATCAACTATCATAATATATAGCAAAGTCAGCGAAATGTTATAGAATAAAAGTAAAAAACTTAATACAATATCTGAGAGCTATAATCACTTAGAAACTTAAATACGGGTTCAAGGGAGTATAATATCAAATTACAAAGGAATACAATCTATCAATAGATATTATAAAAGTCTTCACTAATACAAACTAGATAAGTGATCAATATGATTAGAAAAGTATTTCTGGAGGAGTTGCTATATTTTATAGCAAACCAATATCGTAGACTAATAAGAAGCAGAATTTAGTAGCGACATCAAATACTGAGTCCGAATACATATCAATAGCGATGTTTATCAAACAAGAAAGATGATTAATTCAAATACTCAAAGATCTTGAAAAGACTGAATATATATCTGTATACAAAGATATTATTCAATTGTTAGATAATAACCAAAAAGCAATTGCTTTAACTAAAAACCCATATTTATATAAATAATCAAAGTATATCGATATATACTATTACTTTATCAGGGATCTTATTGAAAAAGAAAAAGTAATAACTAGTTATATCAATACATCAAATATAATAATAGATAGGATAACTAAACCCTTAGCGAGAGTAGTATTCGAAAGGTTCAAAAACATACTGGAATTGAGATAGTAGAGGTGCGGAAGATTAGAGAGATTAAAGGTGGTAACTCCTATAAGGGAGTGTTAAAAGGAATAAAAGTTACCAATACTAAGCATATATAGTGATTAGTAATACAGCTACCTAAACAGGCTAGATTAGACGAACCATAGACAGGCATATTGATCTCCTCATATAATACTACAGGGAGATCAATATGCTTACACGCGTAACTATATAGTCAATATAGAGGCCTCTTCCACCCAATCTTCTAATAAAAATCTATAATATGTAATTTCTTAAACTCATTGAAAATTCTATCTAGAACAACAAATATTTTAATTGTAATTTAGAATAGAAAATCAATTTTCATATTAATTAAAACTTATAGTATAATATAATATCATTGAAAAGTATTTAAAATACTTTTCAAGATAATAGAGATAGGTTTTATGAAATTTGTTAGAATAGAAATTATCCTTTTAGCTTTTTCTATAAATAATTTTATAGAATAATAATAATCATTACTAATAGAGTTTTTTCATGAAACTTTTCGAGTATAAGTATCTGATCTTTTCCTCTCTCTTTTCTTTTCTTTTTCTTTTCTTATTTATTCATAAAATCCAGTCTTCGAATACATATATATATTTCTTTATCTCAATAATAAAAATCATAACTTACTACTTGTTTTATACGAACATGTCGACTCCTGATATATTATTTTCTTCTCTAGAAACAAATACAACTCGAGGTAATAATTACTATTGTCTTCTCGACTCGTATCGTGATTTTACCAACGTTAATTTCAGCTTCTGTTACTACTATAGCATATCGACAACATCTGATTAATCATATCACGAAAACACCCATATCTTCACTTGGACGTCTTCATCTCCGCCTTAATCTACTTGACCTCGAAAAGTTCAAACTGAAAAATTATCATCATGATGTGATGAACAAACCTTTACCTGCCGGAACTACAATGACAGATGTGATGAAGAGGAATGCTCTGTTCGTTAAACATGTCAAATTTCTCGATAATCAACAGACGATGGTTCGAAAACAACTACTCAATGCAATCCGCAAAATTCAGATTCAGGAATCAATTATTCGTACCGCTCCTGCTGAGATCAGATCTAAGCTCTTGAATGGCCAAAAGTTGTTTGGTCAACTTCAAGCTGAGATAGCGTGTGGTCAAACTGTCGCGATAAATACTCAACGCATACATCATTTACATCTTTCCCTTCAAAGATTATACCGACAAGCTGTTGACTCGCAGCGTCAACAGTCAACGTCAAGAAGCTAGACGATCAAATGCTCCTAGTCCTTCTACAGTTTCATTGAAACTCCTCCTCCTCCATATTCAGCCAATTAATAATTGGTTGTCCCGGTCTATCGAAGACGTTCTGTGCTGTAAGTTACTATCGCTAATTTGCGACCGTAAATTCATGGGATACAGTCAGTACTAATCTTTGCTAGGCATATAATAGGCCAGAAGACTAAACGTCTCAAACTCTCTTTAAATTGATTGAAATGATTATATACCATCTGGTCTCTCAGTCATGTTGAATGTTTGGAGGATATACATTATGTTAATTCGAGATTCAACATTACGAGGATTTTTTCTTGGGTCTTTTGTTTGGATGTAGCATTCATCGATCCCTATTACTTCTCACTTCTCGAGCATTCTCTTCTAGCGTTAATCAACTTGAGGATTTGAAATGATTGGATTGTATTTGGTTTTGCTCTTTTTACCTATTTCGAGTTTAATTAGATCTGACTTGTATATTCGAGTACTTCAACACTATCATTAATAAACAAGTCTGATATCTCTACACGTATCATCTCTAAGTTAATTCAAAAAAAAAGTTTATCCTCATCATACTACCTTCTTATATAAATCTATAACTCAAATCATTCTATAATTTAGTTACATTTAACTTATTCAAATCAAAACTATACACTCCTTCATCGTCGCTTACTTACAACTCTTTTTACAATCTCAGAATAACCTTCCTATATTCTCATCAAGAATCCCAGTTCTAGAGACTTTTTACCGAAGCACAACGTCATGATTTCCTATCTACTCTAAGAATCAAAGTGTCGAAGCGTCTTTAACAATAGACTATCTCCCATCTAGATAGTCGAATGTAGTATACATCAGACATCAGTTCTATATCAATACAATTTCCCAATCTTCTACATTTCTAATAATCTTTCAATCTGCAAAATCCTCCTCTTTCTATTTCATCCTTACTTTCTTCTCATTCTCTTTAAAACTCGATACTTTTTATTCTCTTAATTGTATTCTTACTCTGAATCTCACTCTATCTAGGTATCGATCAATCCAAAATAGATAAACATAAATACACACCTCACTACCTAGAAAGTAAGAGAAAATACAACTAGATACCTATTCTCTTACTTACGTTCATCCCATCTCATCTCATCCCTCTATCATCACATCACATCTCATCTCATTCCTCCATTTCTCCATCATCCCATCTCATATTATCCCTTCATCTTTACATCCCATCTCAACCTCTCCCATCCCATTCACTCCCTATAAAACAAATCGATTTCACAAATCAATCATTAATACCTAGATACTTCACTTATCTACTTCCTCATATTCATATACCCCGGCCAGTCAGATAACCTTGAATAAATAGTTGTTATACAATCTATTCTATTCCCTATTCCATTCCCAATTACACCTTCTCGAGTTGGTCAATTATCGAGTTAGCCAATTATCGAATTATACAAATCTATCTGTACACAGATATAGATACATAGATACTTGAGTACAAAAATCCCGTAGTGTTACGATAATGTCAGCTTATTACCTAGTAAGATACATGGAATTATACACATCGTGATGCACAATTCATGATTCAGGATTCAGAATTTACGATTTATATAGGTACACCAGGATGTTGTGGATAGTAAGTACACAGCACGACAGACAAAAGCATCACATCATATCACATCACACACCATCACACCACACCCACAAAATTCACCACAATGGAAACCCATCTAGTCCCCTCCCTCCCCCCATCCCCAAACCAAAATCCATCTACACAACCGCCACCCCCAAAAAACACCCCCAAAACCCCCGCATACGCTCCCAAAACCAGCATGACATCTTTCAATCCCCACTCCTCTCCCCAAATCCCCCCTCTCCCATCTCCATCTCTCTCCCCTTCAATCCCTTCCCATCCAATTTTTTGCTCTCCTCCTCCATGGATAATCCACACGAGTATGATCCCCATGATCGCAACGCTGACCCCGATGATTCCCGCACCGCCGGTTTTGGACATGCCGCCGGGCCAGAGAATGAGGATGCTGATGGGGGTTAGGATACTGCTTCCGCCTGTAGGGAGAAGGTAGTTAGTAGAGATTTAGTGATGGTGTTTTGATTTGGTAGAAAGTAGATTTTAGATGTTAGATTGTAGAATATCGATGCAACACCCCCCCCCCCCCCCCCTCCCAAAAAGAAGAAAACTCACCCACAACTCCCCCACAAATCTCCCCATCCCCCTCCCCTCCCCTCCTCTCCATCCCCTCCTCCTCGCCTCTCTCCTCACACCCCCCCAAACCCCATTACTCACACTCCAATCCGTCTGATACGCGACCAGCTTCCTCTCCAACTCATTGACCAACCCCACTTCGCGCGGATGATTCCACGCGCGCGCACATTCGAGAATCGCGAGTTGTTTGCCGTAGAGATGGAAACGGGGCGGAAGAGATGATTTGGGGAGATCGAGGAGGGGGATTGGAGAGCTGAGCCAGTAGGTGTAGTTGCGGATTGAGCGGGCTGGGAGGGAGGAGAGGAGATTAGTGGGATGGAGATTACGGGTGGGTGAGAGTGTGAGAGTGTGAGGGAGACGTACTGTATTTTTCGAGATCTTCTTGGATTTGGTCCCAGCGGGCGGGAATACGTACTTTGATTTTTTCGTTAGCTTGTGGTTCAAACTTCCAGCTTCAAACTCCAAACTTCATCAAAAAAGAAAATCCAAAGTGAAATAAGCAACACAAAGCCAACCTACAATCCTCATACTTCTCATTCCGACTCAACAAAATCCAATTATGCATATGCAATTTCGCCGTCGCGTGCAAAATATCCTCCAAATACATTGTTCGCAGCATTGCTCTATGTTCACCCATTGGGTATCTATTTTCTTATTAGTATCTCCTTCTCACATCTCCTTTCCACATCTCATCTCATCCCATCACACCTCATCTTCCACCCCAAAGAAAGGAAGCAAAACTCACACATCCGGTAAATCCTCCGGCCTGGGATCATATTTCTCTAAAAACTCCCCCAAATCCCTCGGCGCGACTTCCTCTTTCCTCTCCCTCTCCCTCTCCATCCTCATCGGTCCCGTAAATCCACCTTCTCTCACCCCCTCACTTGCCCCTCTCCTCTGCATCACCGGTTTCTTTCCCTCTCCCTCTCCCTCTCCATCCTCCTCCTTCCCCCCACTCCCCACCCCCTCCAATCCCATTTCCCTCTGCACACCCAACGCATTCCTCAGCGCCTCTCGAAAAACCCGCATTCGATAATGCACCTCCTTCTCTTCATCTCCCACCAACACATCATACTCACAACTACACCCCGCACTCCCATCTCTATTCCGCCGAAACTGATGTTCAGCAACCTTCTGCTTGAGATTTTTCTTGAGTCGGGAGTGTGGAGAGAGGGGAGGAGGCGGTATAGCTGTAGGTACAGAAGTAGGAGAAATGTGAAGAGACCGATCCCGATCATTCGGATCACTCATACTAAACCCTCTTCTTCCACTCTGAGGAATCCCTCTTCCGACTCCGACTCCTGTTCCTCTCGCAGGAAGAACACCCAGATATTCATGCAGACGAGAAAGTTGCTCCTGATCCAAATGACCCAGATTCAGATCCCGATCCCGATCCCGATCCAAATATATCTTTTCCCCTCCTCGCGAATTCCCAGATGTGCAGCGCTCGCACCATTAGTATTCGCAGAAACATTCCCATTCCCCGGACCCGAAAGCGCACTCCACGATCGCTCACTAAAAGTGACGCTCTTGGGACTCGGACTCGGAGGCGGTCGGAAAATCGTATCGTGTCTGTAGGATGCCGAGGGGATGCTGAAGGGTGAGTGTTGCGATTGGGGAGAGAAGAGGGGAGAGGGGTTAGGGGGGATGTGGGAGCGTCCGCGATGGTCGCCGGTGAAACCTTTTTTGTAAATGCCGCGACTTTGGCCGCCTTCGAGATCGGGGGACCGCGAGAAGAAGGAGCGCATGCTGGTGGAGGGTCTGGGGGACGGGGGAGAAGTATTTTTGTAGGGATGATGGTGGTGATGATGTTTTGTATTAGGGGGATGGATTTGAAGAATATAACTGAAGAATGAGATAGAGAGATGAAACGATGTATACATGTTCTGAAAAAAGAAACAATTTGGTTGCACTTTCCCAAATTGCATAGCGCCAACTAGTTGTACACCATCTATTATTATTTCTATGTCTAGATATAGTCTATCTTTTCTGAAGTCTAAAATCTTCGCCTCTCTAGTTGTATCTATACGTCTATGACTGCAAAAAAAAAACAGACTTCTAATATTGCACACACACAACCAAACCCCTACAACTTCGACTTGAATTTCTTATTCTCCTCTTGCAATGGTGCCGCCTCGCTAACATCCACTTTCTTATCATCTGTGTTCTTCGCTGGACTACCAGGAGTATCCTTCTTCTTTGGTGCAGAATGATATCCACCCTTTTCATTATCCAAGTTTGTGATATTACCCTCGCTGTCTCTTTGAATACCCAACTCAATCAACTTTGCAAAGACTTTACTGAAATCTTCAAAGAACTTTTCCTTGTCATCTGCATATTTTCCTACCCATTTCTTGAACTCCTTATCTTGTGTCAGAGCCAAATCCGTTGGAAGCATCATCAATTCCGTCTCGGTATCCTCATCGTAGTTGACGAATTGTTCGATCCCATTTGCCAACTTCTTTTTGCGCCATTGAAGAGAAAGCAAAAGTCTGTAATATTGATTCGAGAATCTCGTAGGATTATTAACCCAGGCTCCCTCGAAACCAGATCGATCGCTATGGCATCGTCCCAGATTATGAGCTCCACTCAACGCCACGATTTCCTGATCATTAAATCCCATGCGGTAGAAAATCCATCGAAGATGATCGGATCCTTGTGCTGCATCTGGTAGACGTCCTCGCGGGGGCAATTTCGAATCATCGACATAATCTGTTCGTCCACCTTGCCATGGGATATCTGGTCCACCCATTTCTTTGATCGCCACTACTCCTGCTAATGTCCAGAGATCTGCATATGTTATCCAGGGATGCTTGGCTTTGACTGGTTCGAGGAAGACTCTCGCGTGTTGTAGACCAGCGTTTGCTGGATCTCCTCCTTCACTCTCGTATCGCATACCAGCTCCATTGGATCCACCCGTATCTGTTTCAGAATCGTATGTTCCAGCCGAATGCCTAGATGATATTAGTTTGTGAATGAGAAGGAATCGTTTGCGCCAAAGTGGATTGCATTAATTGCGCATAGTCTGGAGAAGACATGGAATGAAAGATCACATACCATGCTAAGCGCACAAGAACTGGTCCAGCACTGCCATCATCATATTCCGGTTGGTGTAAAAGGCCAACAATATCCTTTCGGACGGCGGCAAAGTCCCCTTTCTTACTCATTGTAACTGCTGTATCTTTGGACAGCTCCTGAAATGGAATATATATGAAATTTCGAAACTGAATGAACAAAAAGAAATCTAGAGTAATTGCCACCGACAATATAAATGAAGCAAAAAGTCAAGTAAAGGGGAAACACGGGGAAAAGTCAGGGAGAAGACTTCAAATCAAAGAGACGCCATACCGAGGCTCGCGGCAATACCTACCTAGAATCCCCCATTCATATGCTAATTCCTTTACCGCGCGATTGTCTTGTGAAAAACCGGGGCAGAATGATACAAAGATTGTGGGTCAAGTCGATGAATCATGGAGTTTTAATCACAGTGATAAGGGAGTGATGTTAAATTTCATTTTCGTGATACGCCAATTCTTTTTTACCGAGGTCGGAGTAAATAAATTTTGAGACGAGGATATGATTTCTGGGGGTGTGAGTTTAGCTTCGTCTGTGTGCTTGCTCTTTTACTAGATAATGCATGAGGGGTGTGGTTAGCCGGAGAGAAATTGAGAGCAATCGGATGGCGAGAACGAGAGTAAGATTTCTTTCCGAGATGATTGTTGAAATCGAGTATAAAATAAGTTTTTGAGATCAAATTGTCAGTCAGTCAGCTAGTTGGCTGATGACATTTAGAGAGTAACTTTGAGGGATGAGGCTATTCGAATGTCAAATAGATGGATGTAGACAGCAAACAGAATTCCTCATTCGTTCAACTTTTGGCTTACCTAGGTATTGTCACTGTCATGTCAGCTTGTGAATCTTTTCTCAAATATACCTACTGAGATGGATCTTGTAACAAGATTACGGACATCCGATGCTTCGATCAATTGTTTGCTTCTGCGGAGCTGATGCATACAATGATATGAACGTATTTGAGTCCCAACCTATAGCACAATCGCATCCGGAATCTACATTATCATTCGATGAGAGTAAACAGAGAAGAGCCATCTCATATACGTAATATTGAGGCATTACCCACAAAGACCAATTCACATGACCTGTTCCCATGCAACATATGAAACACATCTTTCTGGATTCTACAACGCACAGGAGTGTGTTTTGTGTCGTACAAACAAGCATCAAATAGTGGTTTGGTTGCGGGTAAAACGTATCCTTGTTGATGACATCCAAGGTACGCATCCAATTGGAGATGTTGCTCGCAAACGTGGGATATTGTATTGTTGTTATTATTTCTTCAAGTGTATGTACCGGTACCTAATGCTCTCTTGATGGTGAGAATGAGGATGGATGGTCAGCCGGCGGATTGGAATTCTTGTCTTGAATCCCTCGAGAACATCAACATCAATTTCAATTGAGCGTTTATCTCTTCTTGGCGCCGCGTGGGAGCATGGGGTGGATTGAATATCAAAATGATTTTTGATATGGTGGGGCAAGTCGATTGGGTGGGCTGGAGATCCAGGTACAATATTAAAAGAAGGGAGGGGTCAGCTGAAAATTCATTTCCAGAACTCAGAGACTCGCGACTTGAATAGATAATGGATTGAAACCCGAGTACAACTTGTACACGGAGAGAATGAGAATGGATATTGAAGGACCTGCTTTGGTACCATATCATAGTATATCTGTTGATGATATCATATTTGTAGGATAGACAAAACTCCGTACATGTCATGTTCGTGTAAGACAATTTGCTTAACCGGATTCGATGAAGGGGGTGAGGGTCATTAAAATGTATGGTGACGCCAAAATCCACTTTCTGCATATAACAAGACTAGACTTCTCCATAACATTGCAGCAAAAATGTCAAAAAGTTGACTTATTTCCAATCACACACAGGCTGAACCCAAAAAATGAAGCACATGAGGGAGTGAGTTCAAGACATCTACCAATTAGTCTTTTGATACCAGTCGGATGGGTAGGAAATTGTTCTCTCTTCCCCATTCTTTTCATCGTTCATCAAGAATTCTGAATCACCTCAATGAATATACATTCTATCCCATCTGAAACTTATATAAACATCGAGGAATGGAAGAAGCGAAGATTAATGAAGACGTCACACTTCAAAGTTTTGTCAGAAAAGAGAAGGAAAAAAAGAGGGGATGGGTATGGGTATAGTATGAATGTGTTATGTATCAAGAGCTATCAGAGAGCGGTTGTAATTAATAATTACCGAAATCGACCTTTCTGGACCAAAAGGAGCTGTTAATTCATTCCCATATCGGCATATCCGAGGTGGCCGGATTACTGCATTCATTCATCAATATCAGTCTGAGTGACAGAAGGAAAGAGGAAAGGCTGAGGGTCGACTCCGTAATATTTCCACGAAGGATAAGCCAGGAAAGAGAAGAAGAGAAAAGAGGATGGTCAGATTCTTATTCTTATCATGAAGAGAAGTTTGGAGTGATTAGGTAGGTAGGTAGTTATCAGTAGTTCGTAGGTAAGAAGATAATGATCCCTTGTTGACCAAGATAGATCCCCTGTTCATTTGATATCAATATCATTTTGCCTATCGTTCCACCCACGTTGGATGTGAAATTGCCCTATCGATTTTTAGGTTTCTAACGTTACTTGAGCTTCAAAGTTAAAGCGTGACCCTTGAAGAGAATCCGGTGGGCAAGGAAAGGAATCCATTGGTCGTGTATCAATTGAACCCGGTTGTTTCATTTGACCCGCGGCGGGAAGACAAGGGAGGGAGGATCAGAGGAGAAGGGAGTTGGGACTGTTGGAGATATACGAGGATTTTGTGTTTGGTTGGAGAAAGGGTTATCTACCTGACTAGCTAGTCGTACCTACATTGTACGGAGGATGTAGGAAAGATATCATTTGGAGGTTGAAAAAGAATCAATCAAGCAAAGAAAGTAGATCGAGAGGTAATTAAAATATCATGGTAGATTATGATTAGCTCTTGGTAGATATGCCTCCTACATGTAGGTCCTTGGATTGAAACTTTATAGATGTGACACGAGCCGTCTAAGGTCTGTCACCCGTGACCTGTGAAATTAGGTCGTCAGGTAGTGAAGTGTGAAATGAGTGAAGTGTGAAATGAGTGAAGTGTGAAATGAGTGAAGCCTGATATTAGTGAAGTGTGAAGTGAAATAAAATGAAATGAGAGAAAAGACCGACCCCAGACCAGAAGCAGAGCCAGAGCCAAAGCCAGAGCCAGAACAAACAATAGTCTGCAAGCAATTTCACCTCAACCCACGAATACGAAAAGCATTTACTCAATTTGCTCAATTCACTCCATTCACCCTTCACTCTTCACTCTTCACTCTTCTCTCTTCACTCTTCACCCTTCACTCTTCTCTCATCTTTCCATCTTCTCTCCATCTCCTCCCTTGATACTCTATATATATATGTAATTGGCTTATTAATAAATATAACAAATCAATCAAATTATACTACTACTACTACTACTACTACTGTACTACTACTACTACTACTACTACTCCTCCTCCTCCTCCTAATATATATTTTCTTCATCACCTTACTTGCTGTCGTCACTAGCTTAATTTCTTCCAACCAACCTTGGAATCCATCGCATCGCATCCCATCACATCCACTTCCACTTCCACTTCCACATCCCTATCTTATCCGTTCATTCATTTATTGTACTCACAACCCCCACTTCACATTATATTTCTCAATCGAAATATCGACAAAGTACATCCATACAATACAACACAATACAATACCACACAATACAACACAAGCACATGCAATCAATCAATTTATCCATACGCCTCGTCTTCTCCTTTGATTCGTCTATCGAGGTGGTATTGGATTATTTGCTTGCTGGTTTGATCGTTTGATTGATGGTCGATGGTTGATTGAGATTTACAAGGTACTTAGTCACACTACAGTATATCAAAATTACGCTCTTCATCAAAACACAATCCCTGAAAAACAGTTATCATAACGTTACTTTGGATTTAATTATCCCTCCCAAAAAACCCTCAACCTCAACCTCCTCTTCCTCTTTCTGTCTGCTAAAAGGACAGAAAAACATTAACTCTCGCTCCAATTATCCCGCATTCTCCCTCCCCCCAACATGTCGAATTCGGAACAAAGAATGCTCGAGAGCCGAATACAAAATGGAAGTCTCGAAGCTGTGTCAGGTCTAACGTCCGACCAAGCTGGGCATAGTACAACCACTTTTATGAACGATGTAAAAGCAACACAAAACTCAAACATTTCTTTACCTTTATCTCTTCAATCAAATCAAATCCCAGCTTTCACGGCCATCTTCAAATCGAATACCATAGCACCTTCGCCCCCTCACAGCAGATCCACTTCAACAAACGAGGCATACACCCCACTCGCGCTTGACACCACTTCTCGTCTTCACCCAAATATAGATTCGTCATATAGCCAAACTCCGAGTCCTCTAAGCGCGGGTCTGCGGATACAAACCGATATCGTTCCAGGTTATACAATAACATCTGCCAGCACAGGAACCGGAGTGACTGAGCGCGACTCTCCCGATACTATTCGCATTCCATCAAGATCCGGTGGGCAGATAGGAATGTCTCTTGCGCGAACTCCAAGTGTGAAGAATGTCCTGGCGAGTAGCATAGGTAGCAACGGTTCGGCGCCAAACTCAGCATTATCCTCACCAATGTTGAACGCAATGGCAGATGTGACCCCTCTACCCTCACCACTCATGTCGGGAGATTCACCGGGACCATGGAAACGATTAAACTCGAGACGAACATCCCGCGAGCAGATGCTACCAATGCATGCGGATTCGGCTCTGATCACATCAAACGGCGAATCAGTTTCCTCTGCGATTGCCAATCAACAAAAGAGAAGAGTATATCATGGGTTAATAACAAATGCTGTCGAATCTGGGTTGACGGATGCTCAAATAAACCGAAAAAAGAATGCAGAAGGACATACCCGGAATAGAAGTATGAGCGAATATGTACCGGAAGCTTCGCAAGTACCAAAACCTCGGAATATCACTGTATCGGGTTCACATGCTCCAATCATGGATGGAGCGGTAGATGGTCCACAATCAGACATGCATCTGCGGAGAGAACCACATTTAGCAGTTCAACGAGGATTGGCTCCCATACCAAGACCACCAACCCCACCATCGAGTCGAACAGGAGGGGAAAGCAGTGATAGTGATTCATCATTGACCACTAACAACATTCCTCGAGCTCTTCGAAAATCGAGATATGAATACTTTGATGCGTATACTAGAAATGATTCTAAACGACGAAGATGGAGAGGTATAAAGGTTTTGGGCCAAGGCACTTTCAGCAAAGTGATTTTGGCTACCAGTCAAGTCCAAGATGCCGAAGGTCGCATAGATGAAGATAATGTGTTCGGGATTGAATCGATTGTTACACCTATGGAGACAAAAGTTGACCGAAAAAAGTTGGTAGCGATTAAGATTTGTGAACATGGTCCGAAAGGAGGGGCATCTGAAGAAAGAGTAGAAATGTCACTTAAACGTGAATTGGAAATCATGAAATCGATACATCATCCTTCATTGGTTCACCTCAAAGCTTGGAGCATAGAAGAGACTAGAGCTATTCTGGTTTTAAGTTATTGTCCCGGTGGAGATCTATTCGAAGTGGCCAGTCAGCATCGAGATATTCTCGTCCCATCGTTACTTAGACGGATGTTTGCAGAGCTGATTGGTGCTGTCCAATATTTACATGATAGGCGTATTGTTCACCGGGATATCAAATTAGAAAGTAAGTTTTTGAAAGTTTCTTTGGTGATTTACTGAAATCCCAATGTCACATACTAACCAAGTCTCCTTTTTGTTCAGATGTCTTGGTCAACCTTCCTCAACATGAACTTGCAAAACCACAAGACTGGACTAAATATCCTTACTCCATCATCACCCTCACCGATCTCGGTCTCTCTCGCCGCGTAGCCGATGACGAAAAACTTACTACCCGTTGTGGATCAGATGATTATGCTGCCCCAGAAGTTATCATGGGTCAACCATATGATGGACGCGCTACTGATGCTTGGTCTCTTGGTGTCTTACTTTATGCATTACTGGAAAGTAGATTGCCATTCGATCCTAATCCAGGAATGCCAGAAGGACACAAACAACGCAGTCGAACAAGTCATCGAATTGCACGAGTTGAATGGAGATGGATTGAATATTTCGGTGAAGAGGGAGATCATGAGAGTGACCCGGATAAATTCAAGGAAAAGGGATTGTTAGGTGCAATGGAGATTACAGAGGGATTGTTGAAGAGAGCAAGGAGTAGATGGACATTGGAGAAAGTTCAGGAAAATGAGTGGGTCAAAGGAGGTGTTGATGTGGAGGGTGGTGTCAAATGGAGAGAAGAAGTCATTCCTGAGGAAGTCAGAGGTAGTGTGGAATTCTAGAGGGGCAAATTGACTGAAAGGTCGGCATGCAACCTCAATTGTCCCTACATACTCTCGATATCGACTTTAGCTTCGATCTCAGTCTACCGATTGGCTATTTGCTCCGTTATTTTCATGATAATCTCTTCTGTTCATGTTCTATTATCAAAACAGCAAAGATCGAGATTTGGCCCTTTTTTCTTCTTCACGTGAGTTTTGCTTGCGCTTGTATTGCGATGTTTTTCATGGAGAACTTGCATGCATGGTTTATAGCTTGGTGTTTATGGATTTTGGTTTGGGGTTTAAAGGGCTGGGCAGACGGAAGTACGAGGGTACGAACGTATATGTTACCATTCGATTCAGTTCCACGGATGTTTTGTTTATATAATAGGGATTTGGGCGGGGTTAGAACGGGATGGGGTTTTGAGGGAGTGATGGATTTGTGTATATTATACGGGATTGGGAATCGGGGTGGATGGGATGATGTTGTGGAGGGTCGGGGTGGGGGGAGAGAGGATCGGATGTATGGAAGGACGGGCGGGACGGCGGGGATTTTATACCCTGTGGGAATTTGGAATTTTAATATTTGTTGCGTGAGGGAAGGGAGAGGGAGAGGATGGAATTAATGGTTGGGATAGGATAGGGTTGTTTTTTTCCTTGCTACTTGAGTGGGATTGATTGTTTCGTAACCGAGAAGTAGATAGGGGGTTGGCGTGGGGGTAGGTGGGGTAGCGAGAAGAAATGCATCATGAGAGGTAGATGCGAGGATGGGGGCTGGATGGTAGAGAAATGCATTAGAAGTTTGTTGAAATCATAAGCTAGAGGATGGTGAGAAACATCGATGTGTTATATTGAATTGCGCTTAATCAAAGTGAAAAACAAAATTGGTGATTCGAAAGGTTTGTAAATTTTGTGAATGGGGAGTAGCGATGAGGGAGACAGGGGTAAATAAGGAGTGAGTTGGGGGTTAAATGTAGGTAGAATATTAATTAATTATCTTCATGAGATGAGTGAAGAAAGTATTTTAGGTGGATAGATAGTATGTAAGTAAATAGATGGATGAATAGATGGATAAATGGGTTTATTAATTTCTGTATTTGATTAATTGATTATATATGTATGTATGTATGTATGTATGTATGTATGTATGTATGTATGTATGTATGTATGTATGTATGTATGATTGTATGTATGATTGTATGTATATATATATAGAAGATTTTGTTAATAGGAATAGGTGAGGGAGGGTTACTTGAGGGTTATCGAGGGTTCTTGAGTAGGAATGGAATTGAGGGGGTAGAGGTTAAGTTTTAGTTTTGGAGTGGGTAGGGTAGGGTAAGGTATTGTGTTGTATTGTGTTGTTGGATTGTTGGATTAGAAGAGTTTGGGATGTAAGTCATTTATAATATACATAGGTTAGGTAAGGAATGGGGTTGTGCTGGATGAAAGGAATTGGGATATTGAAATATTTGAGAGAGGGTATTTGAGAGAGGAGATGGGAGGGAGGGAATTTGATGGGATGTTGGGATGTGGGATGTTGAAATGTTGAAATGGTTTGGGAGTTTGAATTTCTTTTGGGGATTTGGATATTGGAGTCATGAATTCTTGGATTGGGGATTGTTGGTTTGGGATTTGGAGGATTGTAGTTTGGAGGATTGTAGTTTGGCGGATTGTCGTTGGCGGATTGTAGTTTGGAGGGCTTGTCAGTTTGGCGGATTGTAGTTGGAGGATTGTAGTTTGGAGGATTGTTAGTTTGGAGGATTGAATATTCTACGCTGGTAGAGGGGTGTAGAAGGTGGTAAGGTGGTGCAGGGTGGAGAGAAGGCAGAGAGAAGGTAGAAAGGGATCGAAAGAAAACTTGAGAAGAGAGTAGGTAGTATGGATGGGATCGAGGATCGAGGGGTGGGGAAGTGGGTGGTGAAAGGAGGGAGAGGGAAGTGATAGGAGTGTTTTTTGGTTTGGAGATAGATATTTAGGTATGGAGTATGGGGTGATAAATGATGAATGATGGATGTAGAGGAAAGTATAGGGGATAGTAATGAAAAGATGGAGTAAAGAGCGAGGAATAATGTGGAGCGAGAGAGTGAAGGGTAAATGTTCTATTCGAATTTAGGATATTGTAAGTTGTCATTCAATTCTTGAATAATCGAGTGTAATGTAGAGATGAGATGAGAGTTCCTATGATGATATCGTATTGATATGATTAGAAGATGTTTAATATTAGTTCGTCAAAATGAGAGGATAGTAATTGTGAGTTTGATGGGGTTGGTGAGGAAGTTGAAATAGGGGGATGGATAGGAAAGTGGATAGAAGGGGATACTGATATTGTGGTTTTGGAAAGAGAGATAGTGTTAGATGGGGGTTCGGTGAGTTAGTGGATGAGATTCGATGATGGGTGTTTGAGTTGGGGTTGTGGGTTGTGGGTTGTAGTTTCGATGGGGTGGTGGGAAGTAAATGTTCCGAGAAGTCGTAGAGGGTGGTGATGTTTAGTTTGCTTGATGGTGTGGGAGTTGATTCTAGAGATTAGATGGAATAGAGGATGTGTTTAGTAGATGGGAGGTGGGATATGCGTTATGTAGTTAGTGCGCCAGTGGGTGTATGGATTGACGGGACACTACAGAAATTGACTTGTGAATCTCTCTTGATATATCGAATTAGATATCTTGGAAATTGTTGGAATCATTAATTAGATTTAGAACAATCAAATCATGAGTATTGATATCAAACAATTGAAGAATGAATTTAATAGAAATTTCGAAGGTTGGGAAGTGTCCCGTCAATCCATGCACCCACTGGTGGTGTATGAAATTTAAGTAAAAAATAAGTGAGAAGAGAGAAATAAATCTTAGAGTGGAAGCGAAAAAGAGGGGGGGGTTAGTGAACAGTATCATGACAAAACCGTGTGAATTTATAACTCGATATAGAACATTGAATTACAATGAAAGCAATCATGAGATTGATAGACGATGAGTAGGAAAAACGAGATAGGAGATTCAATAGGAAGATAGTATCTATCAATACTATGGGTTTGAATAGAGGAGGATCGCTCGAGTTTGGTTGCACAAAGGTAGTTGGAGGCTTGGATGTTCTAATTATGAGAATTGCGGAGTGTTTGTGTCGTGGCTGGAAGATATGAGTGGGAAGTTGATGATATAGGTGGCTTTCATGGGTGACTCAGAGAATGATGTTAAAGAGGAGAATCAGTGGTTGATGGGAAGATCATACGGTAGGAAGGATGATTATTTTGTTTGCTATAGAAAAGCGCGTGAGCTGTGTGTAGTGAGGTGATTGGTCAAGATGTGGAGTTGAAGAACTGGGTGTAGTAAACTGAATAGGAAAATGAGAGGGCCGTTGACGGAGTTCCTGGTGTGGTACGATAATGAGTTTGATCGGAGAACATATAAAGAGCCGCATATTGGAGGAACAAGGCAGATTTTTGTTAGCTTTTGGTGTAGAGATATGTAGATATGCGTAGATAATTAGACTACGCAACGAGTACCTATGGATTAGATTCTGGGTTTCGTAGATAGACTACAGATTATCTATCTATAAAGTGGATTATGAAAAGGCTCAAATGATTAAATGACAGGTAAGTAATTTTTAAATAAACGAATAATCTATAATTTGGTTTACTTTGAGCTCAAAGCTGTCTCTAGAATATAAGCAATATAAGCAATTTAAGCTTTAGTATTACGAAATTATATCAATATCTATAAATGAAAGAACAAATTGTTCTAGCCAGTTCAAAGATAATCTGTAGGGTAGAAAGAACCTTTGATAGATATCTACAGGACAGGTTGCCTGAAGATGACTTGCGGGTGCGAATTAACTTTGCTCAGCTCAGAGGAAGCTTAGATGCGAAAGGAAGGATGATTCAAGACTAGGTGACTCCCTCAAAACTACATTATTACGATACTGTAACCACACTCTTCGAGGAGAAAAGTGTATAATGATGTGCACAACAGAATCAGGAATGTCTAGCCGAATGTGAATAATAAAAACAGTGAAAGACGTAAGTCTTGGATAATCAGATGTTGGAAGGTCGAATTGAAGAGGAAATTTCTGCTGTATCTTTATCTGCGCCCACAGCCACCTTGTATCCTATCAATCATTTCATACTCCGTGTTCTCACGAGCCAAGACGTGATATGAAAGATATTGGATGTAAACGGGGCAAATAATTGGTCGCGCATTAATGCGTTCAAGTAGTTGTGAACGACTTGATGATTATGCTGTAGCCGAATGGGATATTTTTGAAAGAAGGGTCAGGATTTCTTCCCATTATACTAATCAAATGTTTTTGAGAATACGCTTACGTGTATATAGTATTAAGGTACAGATAGTTATCGAATACTAAAATCGCATCAAAAATGATTATTTGCTTTATTTATATAAATAAGAAAGAAACATTCAAAATCATTAAAATTAATCAAAATTTGAATATGATCATTTTGCACAATAAAAACCCCAGAATTAATAAATTTTAAAATTTTAAAATATAGAAATATCATTATTTGTAAGATCGCATTTGAATTAAAAGAATGTTCTTGATTTTCGCTTATTTTATTAGGAAATTTCAAGATTTTCAATTTATATTAATTTTCTATATAGATTTTATATTAAATAAAGACCCTAAAAATAAATGGTCTTATTTTTATTGAATTTAAATTGAAAATCAATAGAACAATATAACTCTTATTAAATGAAATCAATGTTTTTATTGAGAAATATATAGGTAATCTATATGAGTTTTGGTGTGATTTTAGCGTTCAACAACTATCTGTGCTTAGTTATTGTACATAATTCTCCATAACTGAGGAGTCGTATAATAATATGCACATTAGATCTCCAATTACAATCGTATGCTCTAGTTGTGTGTATTAAAGTCACCATTGTATGAAGTTTCATATGTTAGGGAAAGTCTAACCTATGCGAACGCATCAGCCTCTGGGCTTTTATTGTACAGAGCCTCAGAAACCGAAAATCCTCCATGGCGCCAAGCTTTCTTGGAAAGGAAACACATGTATAGCCCGTTGGTTTTGTACAATATTTGGCCCAGAAGCAGCTACTTCCCCATCATTACGGACTCGCATATTAATTAGTTCTAAACAGGCATCGCGTGATACAGTATTACCAATTGGCAAAGCTGTAGCCAGGTCTGGAGCCTAGGCATATGGATATCTAGAGTCAATCTATGGTAGAGAAATGTGGAAGCAATGACCGTACTGTCCGTAAACAACAAAACGGTTCCTACGCACAGCCTCACCGCTAAATTTCTTTGGGAAAGAGAGTGATGGGTTTTATCAGCTTGATGTGTGATGTGTGATGGATGTTGTCTTTTCAACTCTTAAAGTTGCATATTATATCAAATTTTGAACATTCCAAGGCAAATTATGTGAAGATGCGAAGCTTTTTGCCTTGAGCTTGGCAGAGCTTTAAGACAAAATTGGCAGGAACTCAATCTAGTTTTGAAGACATCATTCTATAAG